TACTTACTTTCCTATCTCAGTCAGACTTCTCAAATGAGTATATATTCACTTCGCTACTGCCTCATTACTAAATCACTCCTGAACTCTTAATAATATAATTTCTACCCATTTCATTATTTTGAAATTGCCTTTATCAAGATCCCTAATTGTTGCATAAAGCATATATTTTCCAGTTGTTTTCTTAATTATCTTCTCTGAATTTGGCATGAATGGCCATTGCTTTCTCCTTGACACTCTTTCCTTACATTCTATATCAACTTTATTTCCTAGTTTTCCTCCTACCTGCCCTACCAGAATTCCTCAGTCTCTTTGGCCCTTTTCCCATTGGAGTTCTCTATGAGGAACTCCACTTACTTTCCTTGGAAAACCTCATTCATGTCAGTAGCTTCAACTACCCAACTCTGTACTGATGATTCCAGCCCTGGCCTCTCTCTTTAGCTTCATTTGGACTGTAATTACTTACTTGTGCTGCAGGTCCTTCACAGGATAGTAAAAATTGAACTTATCAGTCTGCTTCAAAAACTGTGTCTCCTATATTTCCATTCTTGGTATTTCCTTTCTTTATTCCTTATCACCAATTATTGTCCAGTATATTTCAGTTCCTGGAATTCTATTTTATCACAATAATTGGTGATAAGGAATATCCATCCAATTGCTATTCTTGGAATATTCCATTCCAATTGCTATTCTTTTGGTTTAGATCTTAATTTCTCAACTAGATATTATATACTGTAAGTTCATCTAGCTCTCCTGATTTGGAGAAGAATCTACATCTTTTATTTCTATGTCCTCAGAATACAGCTTAGTGCTTACCACATAGTAGGTCATCTATAATAATGTGTTGGATGAATCAGTGAATTTTGATAAGATGTTATTGATACACATGAAAATAGAGGAAATTTATTAAATTTTTTAAATGAAATGAGTCCCTAAATTGATATTGGCAAACTACAACCAAAAGGCTAAATCTGGCCCTGCTCTCTATTTTGTAAATAAAGTTTTATTGGCATGTATTCATAACCTCTTGTTTACATCTTGTCTATGTCTTCTTTTCCACTACAATGGCAGAGTTAAGTAGTTGCACCAAAGTCTTTACAACCTGCAAAGCTTAAACTATTTACTATCTGACAGTTTATAGAAAAAGTACCACCT